GGGGGGGGGGGGGGGCTGGCGGCGGAAACTGGAGGAAAGACGGAAGGGCTCGCGCACCAGCTCCGCCGCCGCCGCCTCGACCGCCTCCGACTCGCGCGCCGCCGCCGCGGCCGCCTACGCATCAAGCAAGAGCTCTTGTCGGCCCCCTCCTCCCGAGTGCGCGCGCGAGCTGCAGCGGCGGCGGCGCCTCTCTCGCCGCTGCGATCTTCTTGAGGGCGGCGCGCGCGCTCGCCACCTCGGCCTTTGCGACGCCGTTGCGCTGGGCGGCGGCGATGCAGCGCTCGAGGACGTGCTCATCGTCCCCGGCGGTCGCCTCCCGCAGCTCGAAGGCAACCTCGCCCCGCCTCCGCTCCGCCTCGGCCTGCAGCAGAGAGCTCCGGCGAGGGCTTGGGGCGGCTCTTGGGGCGGCTCCTCCCTTGCCGCCTGCCCCGCGCTTCGCTCGCCCTCCGCCTCGCGCTACTGCTACACCCCGGCTACACCCCGGCTGCATCTCGGCTGCATCTCGGCTACATCTCGGCTACATCTCGCCTCGCGCTGCTGCGCCTCGCGCCGCCGCCGCTCCGCCTTCTCCGCCTCGACCAGCCGCGCCTCCTCCGCCTTCTTCTCCGCCTCGGCCGCAAACTCGCGCTGCGCCGTCGCGAGCCGGCCGTACTCGGCGCGCGCCTGCTCGGGCCGAGGGCGGCGGCGGTGAGCGAAGGCGGCGGCGAGGGCGGCGGTGAGGGCAGCGGCGAGGGCAGCAGCGAGTGAGGGCGACGCAGGGAGGGCTCGGGGGCAGTGAGGCGTCCCGGAAGGGTCTCGGAAGGGTCTCGGAAGGGTCTCGGAAGGGTCTCGAAGTCTCGGGAAGTCTTGGGAGCGTCTCCGTCTCTCCCCTCGCCTTGGCGCCCGAGCCGTGCATGCCGCCTGGCGCCGCCTCTGCGCCGGTGCACTTTGCGGCGGCGGCATCGAACGCGTCTGCAGCCTCGAGGTGGCGGCCGAGGCCGGCGAGAGCCTAGGGGGGAAGGGTCCGGAGGAGGCTTCGAAGAGGGCCCCCGGGAGGCTCGAGGCGGCGGGACGAGGCGAGCGCCATCGCGCGGCGCGCGAGCGGCTTGTCCCAGTCGGGGCACAGCGCCGCGCACTCGTCGGCGTCCTTGATGGCCATGTCGTGCCTGGGCACACCAGAGGGAGGGGAGGGGAGGGGGGGGGGGGGTCCAGGGCTAGGTCCCCACGGCTCTCTTCCCCGCCGCTCGAGCTCGGCGCATCTCGGCTGCACCTTGGCTGCACCTCGGCTGCATCTCGGCTGCATCTCGGCTGTTCTCGGCTGCATCTCGGCTGCTCTCGGCTATCTCTCGCCGCTCGAGCTTGGTGTACGCGGCGGATCGGTTGGAGAGCACGCGGCCGTCCCGCGCCTACGCCACCAACGCCAGAGTCCGGCGGGGGGGGGGCCTCGTGCCGTCCACTCGTCGGGGCGCTCTCGTCAGGGCGCTCTGGTGCAGCCTTGCAGCACGCTGCGGAACCAGCAGCACGCTGCGGAACCAGCAGCACGCTGCGGAACCAGCAGCACGCTGCGGGACACACTCGCCCCCTCTCGAGTGGGA